GATGGATATTTATTGTTCTGTTCTATTGCTTGCTCTCCATCTGTTATCCCCACCCCCTCATCCCCACTCTCACCCAACCAGTCGAGGCAGATGGCCGCCTTTCTTGAGCCTGGTTCTGTCGGAGCTTCAGGAAATAGCAACCGGGATCTGTTGTCATAGCCATTTTGATGTTGTCCATGTCTTCAAAACAGGTCCCCTTGATGAACCCCTTGAGCTTGGTCGGATGAGTAGGGAGGTTCTCCAGCAAGGCGATGTTCTTCTCAGCCAGGAACTGTCAGATGCTCAGGGCATTGTGAGCAGATGCGTTGTCATGGTGAAGCAGCCACGACTTGTCCTGCCATAACTCTCGCCTCTTCTCGTGCACCGAAAGAAGCAAACGCCGCAGGATCTCTTTGCAGACGTGCTGGTTGATTGTCTGAAGGGAAAAACTTGTAGTTTGTAGTTTGGGTTTGAAATGTATTTATTTATTTATACTTATATGGTGGGACTTATTTGCGGGAACAAAAAAAATCATTGTACAGAGATGAAGTGAAACACCTAGAGGGCTGGTGCAGTAAGAACAACCTGCTGCTCAACGTAGACAAAACTAGTGAGATGATCATCAACTTCCGGAGGTTATGTCCTGAGCATGCTCCCCTCAGCATCAGCGGCTGCACAGTGGAGAGAGTGGAGAACATCGAGTTCCTCAGAGTGCAGGTCTCGCAGGACCTGAGCTGGAATAAGAACACTGCAGCAATTATCAAACGGTCCCAGCAGAGACTTCATTTCCTGAGGAAGCTGAAACAAGCCTCTCTTCCTGCCAGCATCCTCAGAGTATTTAAAGTTTCCGAAATGCTCATCAACAGTTATTATAGTCACTGGTTTGCACACACTGAAATTGGGTTAGATAGGGAGCTTTGACAGCTTTTCACATAACTCACAGCTTTTAATGGTTTGAAGATGTAAACAATTTGTTCACTGTCAAACGTCTTCTGTAACTCTATAAAATAATATATAGTAGATAATAGAAACCTGGGGACAGAGAATGTATACTTAGTGGCAAATCTATAGGACTTATTTTCTACTGTATGAGCATCATCTAGTGGTTGTAAGTTGAGCAGCTGTTACCATGGATGACAGTAACAAACAAAGTGCATCTCAACATACTCTTATTTAATTGGGCCGAAGAGAAGAGTGGGAGCATTGTCAATAGGTTAATACTTAAGAGATTTTTACATGACAACAAACTGTAGCCGCAAGAAATAAACACAGCTTTAAAAAGAAGTGACACAAACATGAACATGAAGGGCTTCAACTACAGTCAGCATTTCAACCTTTAAAGTCCCCTTCACTGTCTACACAGACTATGGTTACACACACTGCTGTACATTTAACTCCTTTCAATCAAAAACACTTAAATTTACCCAAACTACCTGATCCACCCAACTCTCCAAGACAGGACCACCAATACTTAACAACAAATTTAAACAGGACAGCAGACAGTAAGTGAAGTGACAGCTTGAGGACACAATGTTATGAACATAGAGGACAACACAGATGACACTGCACTGTAGATTGCACACACAGAAGAGACGTACTTGCAGCTGCTTAAACAAACACACACACACACACACACACAAAATGATAACAACAATAGTGATACCAAACTGCAACATCAAATGATCAAATGAAAAAAATTACCCCAAACTACGTGCAGAGACATTACAAAAAATAAATAAATACCTTTCACCCCGAGCAGTACGACCTGTTACCCACATCTTACCTATTCAGTTAGGTTGGTATCTTTTCAAAGAATAAGGTAGGCTGAAAAAAAAATAGTTGTGGGACTACAATAGTAAGGTTTGCTTTGGTGTTTAAAAACATATTATACACAAATACAAATGTTAAATATCGGCAGTTTTCCTGCTTTAAGCCCAGCTGTCATATTCTCATACAGAACAAGACATCTAACGACAAGCAAAGCATTCCAACTCAGTGCCGATATGACAGAAGCATCTCCAAAAAAAATCAGTAGGACAAAGTATTTAGTTCTTTTAGTTACACTCAGTTGTTTAAAAAAAAAAAAAAAAAGCATTCTGGTGACAATTTGAAGCCTCTCCTTTACATGTCTTCAAACTAACAGACTTTCATAAGTCATTATTTGCATCAGCTGGGCCCAGACTGCATCTGATAGCGTTAGTGTCCATGTTACAGGTTTCCTGAAGAAGTCATCCTCATCCACCAGACTCTACTTTGAATACTTCAGGGCCAGCTGTATGGGAAATATAACATCCTTTATATTTGTTGTCATAAAAAACACAACAAACTCTTTGTATATGAGCTCCAAAACCTATATTTTATCTTCCAGGAAAATGTGGATGTTTGTGTCACCTTATGAGCAGTGTCTGCAAACTGCTGGGCTTTGTGCATCAGCTCCACCGTCTTGTCTTCAGCATGGGTCAATCTGTCTCCACGCTCCCCCAGAGTCACATTCACTCTCTGAGCTACATTACCCAGAGTTCTTCCTGTGACACGGTGTCTCGTCTGACCTGTTTATATATGCAGAAAAAGCGAAAGCAGAAAAAGAGAACGCAAAAAAGGGAAATTTATTCAAGTATATTTTCAATGTATTGAAAGTTAGAAATCAATACAACACTCCTAACCGAAAGAAACTTGGTCCTGCAAGTAGTGTCAGAAAGCAGTTTGAAGATTTTTAAGTACATACGCTTTAACATCCACAGTAAGGATTTTGACTTGACAACAGACATCAGCAGCATCACTGAGGTCATGTGTGAGACTAATGCACTGAGGAGAGGACTGTAAACATTCACAGATAAACCTAATTTTGTTTTTGACCTCACCTTGACATAAAGGTGTCACAGTGGATAAGTTCCACTCATTTTAGCTAACAACTTGCAAAGCTACTGCTGCAGCATCAAAAATAATGTATTTCAAAGATGAATTTCCAATAGGTCGATCCTAAGCTAGGATTCAAGGTAAGTGAAACCTACTGCCAAATAATTAGGTAACCTATACATAACAAGATTTAGTACAACATACAATGCATTAGCCTTGACAGGCAGAAATTTAACAGCGAGAGACAACACACTGTGTAACAATGAAGAAGTTAGTCACATCACCAGGCAACTCCTGAAATCCTATGAGAAAAAACATAAAAATTTTGACACATATACAAATAATGTAGCTTTTGGTGAGTTTCTCAGGATCCCATCAACCCTGTTCAAGGCTGTATAACAAGTCAATTTGTTTCTAATCTGGTGCAATTAATGCTATGTCCAACCCAATTTGCACACAAGTTGACATTGTAATTGATAAATTATGGCATTTTAAAGTGTTGGTAGCAAGTCAATGAACAAAAATTTTTACTGACTGCTAAAAGCAAGAGAAGGGGCAACTTCCTTAAGCTTATTAAGCATAATACTGTACTGCCATCATCAAGAGCACCACGTGTTAAAGGTCAACTGAGGTCAAGCATAAAGGGCTGTTGAGCAGTAACATGGTGTCTTGCTGCAACCTGGCACATATCCCATCCATTACACTACCTCTATTAGCAAGTTCAATGGTGTGCTGCGGTCCCTTTCAGGCTCAGAGCAACAGGCTGCCAAAAGAATAGCTATTGTATGAACCCTCCGAAATAAACAAAGTCTCCACTCATCTGACCACCACATCACAAAGAGGCCTTTGTGCAGCAGCGAGGTGCAGCACAGTGGGGACAATAGACAAAAAGACAGAAGGAAAAATGACCTAGAGGCACAAACCGAGAATACCATGACCTGAGGACAAACAGAAAACCTGACACAAAGTTTGTTGTTTTTGTAGTCCTAGAATATAGAAGAAAAACAGTAATGTTTTTAACAGTTTCACCACACTCTCTGATAGCTTCGCTTGTTTTACTATATATCCATTTAGGCATGCTACGCTACCTCTGTAACACTTTGTACACTACACAGGAGGTGTTTCAGACATGTTTTTCCACTGTCACATCTCATAGAACAAATTGTTTCTGATTCAATTCATCCAGTTGCCTTCAAAGACTGACTCATGGCAACAGTTCACCCATGGTTCAGGTGTGTAAACAAGACCTTAAGTGTATTTGTATGCTTTAAGTCTATTTTTGTCTCTGCTTAAGGCTAACAGTGCTCTACAGTGATTGTGTTGAGCTCACTGCACTGCCACAATGCACTATTCGGTATACACTGACACAGAACGGAAGGTGCTACTCTGCTAGTGTTCTGCTTTAACTACACCACCTGTTTAAGCAATAGAAAATCGAACTATTGGAAATTTTGATAGTCTTTCTGTATTCATTTCAAAAAAGATAATTACTTCCTTCAGCTCACACAGCATCATTTAAATAATTGTTGTTGACAATACACGTGAAAATGACTTTTGTGTTATGACCACATTAACCCATGTCAGTTGGATGAGCCTATGATCTAACCACACAGATGTGGACATACACATACGTGGATAAAATTGTTGGTATCCCTCGGTTAATGAAAGAAAAACCCACAACAGTCACAGAAATAACTTGAATCTGACAAAAGTGATAAATAAAAATTCTATGAAAATCAAGCAATGAAAATCAGACAGAATTATTTAAAAAATGAAACTCATGAAACAGGCCTGGACAAAAATGATGGTACCCCTAGAAAAGGGTGAAAATAATGTGACCATAGGGACATGTTCAATCAAGATGTGTCCTCTAATTAGCATGACAGGTGTCTACAAACTTGTAATCAGTCAGTCGGCCTATTTATAGGGTTACAAGTAGTCACTGTGCTGTTTGGTGACATGGTGTGTACCACACGAAACATGAACCAGAGGAAGCCAAGGAGAGAGTTGTCTCAGGAGATTAGAAAGAAAATTATAGACAAGCATGTTAAAGGTAACCACTATAAGACCATCTCCAAGCAGCTTGATGTTTCTGTGACTACAGTTGCACATATTATTCAGAAATTTAAGATCCATGGGACTGCAGCCAACCTCCCTGGACGTGGCCGCAGGAGGAAAACTGATGACAAATGGAAGAGAAGATAATACGAATGGTAACAAAAGAGCCCAGAACAACCTCTAAAGACATTAAAGGTGAACTCCAAGGTCAAGGTACATCAGTGTCAGATTGCACCATCCGTCATTGTTTGAACCAAAGTGGACTTCATGGGAGACGACCAAGGAGGACACCATTGTTGAAACCAAATCATAAAAAAGCCAGACTGGAATTTGCCAAACTGCATGTTGACAAGCCACAAAGCTTCTGGGAGAATGTCCTATGGACAGACAGAACAAAACTGGAACTTTTTAGCAAGGCACATCAACTCTATGTTCACAAACGCAAAAATGAAGCATATCAAGAAAAGAACACTGTCCCTACTGTGAAACATGGAGGAGGCTCTGTTATGTTCTGGGGCTGCTTTGCTGCATCTGGCACAGGGTGTCTTGAATGTGTGCAGGGTACTATGAAATCTCAAGACTATCAAGGTATTCTAGAGAGAAATCTGCTGCCCAGTGTCAGAAAGTGTGGTGGCAGTTGCAGGTTATGGGTCTTGCAACTGGATAATGACCCAAAACACACAGCTAAAAACACCCAAGAATGGCTAAGAGGAAAACATTGGACTATTCTGAAGTGGCCTTCTATGAGCCCTGATCTAAATAATCTAAATTATTATTACTTTTGTCAGATTCAATTTATTTCTGTGACCATTTTGGGTTTTTCTTTCATTAACCAAGGGGTACAAACAATTTTGTCCACATGTGTATGTGTGTGATATGTATATATACACGATATTGAACGGCGGCACGCATGGACACAGCGGCCCCTTCAAGGGACAGCGAGAGTGAACGTTTCGTGTCTTATCAAAGACATGCATTCTGCAAAACTTGTTGGTTGAATAATCCTGAACAGACGCTCTCTCATCTTGCCTGTACAACTGTGTAAGTACAGCAAAATGACAATAAACTTGATTTGATTTGATTTGATTTGATTGATTTGATATGTTCAGGCCTTTACGGTGGTTCAGTGGTTAGTACCATTGCCTCACAGTTAGAAGATCACAGGTTTGCGTCCTAGTTAGGATGCCTGAGATATTTCTGCATGGAGTTTGCATGCTCTCCCTGTGCAGCGTGGGTTCTCTCCGGGTTCTCCGGTGTCCTCCCACAATCCAAAAATATGTTGAGGTTAATTGGTGATTCTAAATTGTCCGTAATGTGAGTGTAGTTGATTGTCGGTCTGTCTGTGTAGCCCTGCGATAGTGTGGCGACCTGTCCAGGCTGTCCCCTGCCTTCATCTGTGATAGGTTCCAGCCCCCCCACGACTCTAGTGGCATATAGATAATGGATGGATGGATATGTTCTAAAACACGTAGAAACACAATGTAATTCGTTTTGATTTCTCAAATACGCTATTTCATTATTATCTTTAGAAGCATTCAGCGTCAAAACAAGAAGGCTTCCCACTTGATTTGAACTTCAGCTTTAGCTAACCTACAGAATAATTTTTTTTTTCCACAGAACCCTGAATACACCATAGATTTTTTCCCTCTCATCACATTCAATACTGACCAATAACTCTTTTAATATACAGGCTTACCAAATTTAATAGACCCCCTGTCTAACTTGTGAAACACTATATATATATATATATATATATGACCATCCAGCATCATGAAGTGCTTTAATTCACACTCAGCTCTCGGCGTTTTACCATTTTGTACAGGAATGAGATATTTCAAAAGGAATTCAACTTTTTATACGCAAACAATTTGAACCAGCTCACTTGGCTTCTCTGAGAAGTCAGAAATGAATCAGGCATAAGATTTAACCAGTAAAACAGATTTTTCTGTTCAGGAATGCAAGTAAATAAAAAATAAACTAGAATTTGACATCTTCATCAAGAAATCATAATATTCTTCACTATTTTTTCAGTTTTTTGTAAAACAATAAATCTGAAAATTCATGGATAACAATAATACTTATATTTTAGCATTAAAAATATCCTTTCGGTTAAAGGGCTTCTACATACTGGTGTATTAACCACTACAGAAACATAAGAAATGCTATGGGTAATTGCCTATGCTGTTAAATAAGGGCAGCTGTAGCATAAACTTTTTATTGTGACATGTGGGCATGACAGTACTGTATTAAAATAGACTTGCCAAAAGTGCTGTGAACCACTTATGAATGTGATATCACCCTCGTGTATGTGTGACTCACACCCATTCTCACCATCCAGTGGCCATGACCTTCACTCTTTTCAGAAACCTTGGTAACATTAGGAAACATTCACCACTGGTGCTGGGAGGAAATACAGTGAAGTCAGACGTTGGTACCTTACCAACCTCTATGCCTCAGAGGTGTCTGTTATCTGTCAGATGGCAAGCTTTGTTTGGCTGGGTTAGGTAATCTGTAAAGTTAAGTAGTCAAAACAAGAATTTATGGTCAAACTGATTGACCTAGTGCAGTGACCATTTCAAAAGAAAGGAAAAATATTGTGTAGTTGTCTGTCAACCAATAAGCAAGATCCAAACTGTATTAATAAAAAAGTGTATCTATCCATCCATCTATTAGCCTATCCCAGTCAACTCAAGGCAGGGGGACACCCTGGACAGGTCACCAGTCTAACGCAGGGTTACACTCAAAGACAGACAACCAAGCACACTCACATTCACAGCTACGGACAATTTAGAATCACCAGTTCACCTCAACATGTTTTTGGACTGTAGAAGAAAGCCAGAGAACTCGGCGCATGCATGGGGAGAACATGATAACTCCACACAGAAAGATCCAGGGTGTCCTAATCGGGATCTTCTGGCTGCAAGGTGACGGTGGTAACCACCCTGATGTCAACACTATGATGTCCTCTGGGTTTTTTTCTCAGACTTCAGAGAATTCCTTCAGAGCAACAGGAGACATTATATAACTGTTCACAGACAGAGTGGTGCTAACCCTAACTATGTAGTAAACATCTATAATTAACACCTGACTTAAGTGTCCCTTTAGTCGTTGCCTTAACTCGACCTGGTGAACGGCTTTGGTTTGCAACTATCATGTTCTTCATGCGATTCAAGAAGACTTTGCAGCGGTAGATGACCAGATTCATGGTGCAGGCATCTGGAAGAAGAAGAATAAGACATTGCACATGAGGCTGCATATAATCTAAATAGCTTCTAGAGTATCATAACACTCAGTAATCCTTTGACACTACCTCCTGTAAGTTTGGACTGGCAGTTGATGAACTCTGTCTGTCTGGGCGGAATGTAGCTCTTCCGCCGGGCCTTCACAGTTCTGGATGCAGAGGAATCACTTGGACCAGCTCCAACCTCAGGGTGAGCACACTGACTTGCTCTCCCCTGTTGGCCTACCTTGCCCAGTTTCACAGACTTTCCCACACTGCCTGCTTTCTCCTCCCAGTAGGTCTGGCAGGCATGGTACAGGATCTGGATAAAGATACATTTCTCTGCTGATGACCTGGCCACCCACTGGTCAAAAGTGTTGTCAAACACTAGGTCAAATTCTGGGCTATCCTGGAAAAGCAGAGTACAGGGGAACAAACAAAGTTGGGAAACTATTTAATATTTATTAGGAATGTCTGAATACATTTTTATTTATTTTACCCCCAATCCAATCCAAGTCCAAGTGTTTGACAATAAAGACTCCCAATCCCCTACAACCCAGTCTCATGGCAATTCATGAAATAGTCACGAAATTTAATCTATTGTTTCGTGTCCTGGGACACGATTTGCCCGACTTTTTCGTGTTCTCCAGCACAAATTTCAAACCAATACATTTCAATTGGAATTATCTTTCGTGTCAGGGACACATTTTCCCCCTATTAGACAGCACATACACTGTGTTGTTTTTGTCGTTCTTTTCTTCCCACAGTCAGGCATTAACCAATTTTACTGTTATGGCCCATCCACACTACTATCTATAGGGATCACTATACAGATGTGTGCGGCCGCACTGACGAACATTAATGTTCTGTAAACATCAGCGCTGTGTATAAACTCTGTATTCATTCAAATAGAAAAGGCAAGAAATATATTCAGGCAGAGAGAAGCTGATCTGAGATCGCATTGAAAGTGATCCCAGTGATATTGTTCACAGCTATTATCGTTTTTTTGTGACAAAAATATGTGCTTTTACTGTGTTTGGGCTACATGCTTGTCGTTACTTTCATTTCTCTGTAAATGAATACACCTCTGAAAATGACACATCTAGCTTTGTGCAGCTTTAAGCTAGCTTGTCGAGACTGGCTACATTAACTACTAGCCTAGCCTAGCTGCGGCTGCTGCGGCGGCGGCTGCTGCTGCTGCTTCTTCTATTGATTTGTCGGTTGGCATCCAACATTCAGGTGCATTCACGCCACCTACTGTACACACAAAAACATTACAGACCCTGTAGGACGGATCTCTTCCGGGTCTATGGCGAGGCTGCATGTCAACGCTAGCAAGGTTGCCATAGCAACGAGCGCAAATTTCCTCCAAACACTGCTGGTGTAATAAAAACACAAAAATACCACAATACGATGTACTCTTTTACTTATTTCATACTACATGTATTATACTTTAACAATAGCACATTTGTCAGTATTAATCTGTTTATTTTAGTTTATTAATACAGAAACACAACCACAGTTGTAAACCCCAAGAATAACTACACATTTCATGGCATGTCCAATCACATTGTATTGTAACACTACTGGAAGTTGTAGTTCTTTCTTCAAAATAGTTGTTTCTCCTAAATGGAGGGTGAAATATAAAACTTTAGGGGCATTTATGATTTTAAATTGATGAGGAACATGTTTATTTTTATTAAACAATAGATTACATTTTGTGACTATTTCACGAATTGCCGTGAGACTGGGTTGTCCCCTAACATTTTTTAATAGATAACACACACTTAAGGTACAACTGACAAGCTCTGCAATATATTAAGAAAAAAAAGTATTTCTACATCTGACCTATTCCTTAATGGTAGATGGTCACAAACCTTGTTGTGACGTTAGCTCTTCTAGGGCAATGTCCAAAATGTAGTGTCAAAAGGCCAAGGTGTAAAAAAACATAAAGGTGGCAGAGTAGGTTGTCCTCTAATCACAAGGTTGGCAGCTCAATTCCCCACCCCTCCACAGTTGAAGTGTCCTTGGGCAAGACACTGAACCTGAAGTTACTCCCAACAGCAGGCAGGCAACTTGCATGGTAGCTCTGTTGCCACTGGTGTATGACTGTGTGTGAATAGGTGAATGAGAAACACACTGTAAAGCACTTTGAGTACCACTAAGGTAGATAGGCGCTATATAAGTGCAGACCATTTACCATGTATTTTACATTAGCTGTAATTGCAGGTGGTGGTTGTCCAGGACTACCACCACGCCTCTCTTGTGTTGTCAAGCAGAGGGCAGATCTCTATCACACTTAATATAACCCATTCAGAGCTCGTATAAAGTATATAGTGTGTCTTGCCACATCTTATACTGTACTCTTCCGACAACTTGCCACATCTTATATAATTTTTTTCAGACAACTGCCAGTGCACACACACAGTATATCGGGAATCAATTTATACTGATACAATCACCTATAAAATGCTATGATAAATTCTGATTTCAATCTGTGACATTGGCTTGAGACTTCTGCAATAAGTAACAAACAAAGTCGTGACTTGATAATCCGACACTAAATGTAAAACCCTCTTTTATGTCAGATAGCAATGCTGTCGGATTGTCAAGACGGAGGTCAAGATACAAGGAGGGCTTGATGCTTGAAGGCTCATTTGTTGTTAATGTTCATTGTTTGTAATTGCTACACTACAACTAGTAACTAGTGTATTTTTGGAACACTACGCATTGCTGGATTTCATGCCTAATTGACCGGTGCGCTTGTGCACGTTACGGCCACTTCCACCCTGGGGAAGCGCTCTGATGGGGTGAAAGTGGCCGGAACACACAGACAGTACTTGGCTGCTGATGCCAGTTTAGGATAGTGGTCACAGTTCTGTTTCCACCATTGGTGGCAGCGGCAGCGGCAGTGGCGGTGGGGGTGCTGCACTGCCACCATCCGTGTTTACTTCCGTAAACATTGAGCACGTTCGCTGCATGTGACGTTGTCGTGTCCTCTTCTGCGCATACGGGACACTTTTGGGTCGTATAAAGTTCACGCAGGAGATCACACACAAGTCGCATTTAGTTGGAAATGTGAACGAAAAAAAATCAGATTTCACAAAAAAATCCGAATTGAGCTTTAAGTCCTGCAGTCTGAACGTAGCCAATCTGTCGGATTATTAAATCAGATAATACGTTGTGATCCTTATTTTTGACATAAAATGTCGTGTCGGAGTCAGAATCCAAGACTGTCGGTATGTTAAAACTATTTTCTATGGGTTCCATTCGTTTTTCCTAAAAACCTGTTGGATAGCAAGGTTTTTGAATTGTTATGGGTAGGATTACTGAGTTACAACTGTATACTGATGGATCATGTCTGAATGCTGCTGACCTTGTTGGCGTTAATGCCATTGACCTGCCGGAGTTGCTCCACTGTCCACTGGGACCTCCTGGTGAAGGAGGAGGAGGACCCACCAAACTGCTTCACCTTTGTAATAAAGAGCTGATGTGGTATGGTGTTGGTCACTAGGTAAACAGATAATATGCATGGAATTATATACTTGTTAGAAATCTGCAACCGTATTTTTACATCAAAGTCTGCAACAATTGCTTTATAGAACAAAACAATTGGATTATTGCACAAAAGACACAAGGATTTTTTAATGTAACTTTCTTTACCTTTCTGGAGATCCTATTCCTGCTTAAATCACTGAAATTTCACCTTTGTAAAATTTTCAGACATTCACCCCTCCATTAATCAGACAGCAACTAAACAGGTAAGCTGCATGTGTGAATGTGCATCCTGATCGCTTGTCCACAAAAGCCGCACCAGCGTTCTTAGTAGGTGGGGCCTAGTAGTGTTTCTGTATTGCTTTCAACCATAGACTGTATAAAAGATGGACAAAGCAACCGGCCCTGAAAAATGAAGCCAACCTGGAAGTGTCAAAAACCTGCAGTATCACTACGTCCGCTAGTCCTGGCTCCAAAAAGCCCTGGCTCCCAGAGAAATGAATTGGAAAAGAAGTGATCACAGATCACGAAATACTGCATTCCTACAGCTCAGGATTTTTTTCTTATTAGTTTTCATGGTCAAGTCCAGAGTCAGGTGGCCAATCTGAAAATAAATCAATACTGAATTTCTAAAAAATCATCAACATTTTGCGGGGCAAGGGGCGTGGCTGGCTTGATTGACAGTCAGCAGCGACGATGCAGACGAAGCGAGCAGAAGGGCGGGCAGAGAGGGTCTGCCTCTCAATCCGTCTGACCAATCGCTGCTCCTATGGCTCCGCCCCCAACGATTTTTGCGTCACTGGCTCCAAAAATCCAAGGTGTCAACCAGGAAGCAGCAAACCCCTGGCTTCATTTTCTCAGTGCAGAAACCAACGGGTGATGTCACGGTAGCTACGTCCATCTTTGATACAGTCTATGCTTTCAACACAACACAAGTGTAATCTGAGTTGTCACTTTAAGAGACTGATACAAACAGTGGTACTATAAGTTGTGTAAAGAGAAGTAGAAAGGCATTTTTTTTTTTTTTTTTACATTTCAGCATCAATATCCGACACAATATCCAATATCCGTAAAATCGCAGAGACACTGACACACAAAAATGCAACAAATCTTTTTCAAGTGCTTTGCTGTACAATTATAAATCTGTCAGACAACAAAATAAAATGTACATATTAATAATAAAAGCTTACTGCGATGAAAACAGACACCACAGTTTAAGGATTAATGATACTCACCAATAAAGAATGTAATCTGAGTGTTTTTCCCCACTTGGTGTCAAGTGGAGCTAACGTTTGTTTCTTCCAGCTGTTTAGGACCTTTGGCTCTGAGTTTATTTAATACCTGCAGCATCAGACAGCAGCAGGATCCATATGAGAGAGAGTTTGTGCACTGAACAACTGGTGCCAGTAACTAAATTCTAAAAAATTATAAATTATTGCTAAGAGTGAATCAGTACAGACCAGGATCTGTCGGCAAATCACACTCTGTAGGCCTAAATGTCTTCACATTAGACAGGTGGGCTGTCACAAAAGAATAGGATATTAGTTTCCAGGTGTTTAGGAGTACTTCTTCACAGTTTATTACAAACCAGCAGCATCAGACAGTGGCATGATCTATTAGAGTCTTCAAAGAGTGAGAGCTGCATGCATTTACACATGGAGCAACAACAAAAACTTCATTAATTAGTCTCGGCTACAAATGATCCCAACATGGACAAAGAGCTGATAAGGATCTAACAATGAACATTTCTTCACATCAGACAGGTGAACTATCATACACAGTCACATTTTACCAGCAGAGTTTTAATATTTTGCCACATCGCAGTGGTCCTCAGGTTAGGTCCTGAACTTCAAGTCTCACTGTTTAAAAAATCTGAAATAATCTGGGAATCTGGATTTGGAAGTCCCACAGGATCCTGGCTCTATTTTCATTAACACTGTGGAGATCGTCCATTTTACTCCTGGGACTTCCAGTCCATAATATTAATATTAATGCTCTGTATTCATGTAGTATTACATAGTACCTTTTAACCTTAGCTAGATTTTACATATCGCTTTACATTGTGTTTGTCATTCACCCACTCACGTAAACATTCATAGCAATGGTAGCTGAGTTGCCGTGCAAGGTGTTGACCTGCCACCTGGAGCAACCTCAGCTTCACTGTCTTGACAAGGACTCTTGGGCATGTGGGGATTGATTTCAATTAATGGACAATGTGCTTTACCACCTGTGCCACAGGTGCACAATGATTTTAATATTATAAAACTAAAAAAACTAAAGCCAAAATGTACACCAAAGTGTTCGTTTACCAAAAAGGCAGTGGTGGCGCAAAATGATGCAATTTTATTTTGATAAAAAATATTTGAAGTCACAAAATTGTCAATCCAATTATGTTACAGACTACACAATACAGGAAATAAAATAATCTTTTACATGTTAAATAGTGGTAGTGTCACGCCCTCCACCTTTGACTCTTCCTAGTGGCAGTCTCTCTCCCTTTTTCCCCCTTTCCCTTTTTCCTTCTCCCGAGGAGGGCATGTGCGTGGCGAGTGTGCGGGGTGCAGCCAGGTGCAGCTTCTGCAATGACTCACCTGCCACAATATAAGCAGCCTCCAGTGCACTACTTCACACCGGACCGTAAACCACTCTCCGTTAGTGAAACACTGGCTCAGTTACGATCCGTAGCTTTCTGTGCCTGTTTGTGTAGTAACCTGTCTCTTGTTGGAATATATAATCTTCTAAATGCACTGATAGTTTAGTATTCACACTATCACATTCAGTATCTACTAATGCATGAGTTTTGCTGATCTGAAGAAGAGAAAAGAAAGATTCAAGAAGGCCAGAGAGATCAAACTCAGGGAGGTTAAGCCAGGTCAGCTAGAAGGAATGCAACCACACACACACACACGCACACACACCTAGCAGTACCTTGCACTGACAGACATACCACCCCCCTACAAACTAATAGGGTGTGGATCAGTGGCAGCTGGTTAATACAGGGCGCAGGGGCATCGCCGCCACACTACTAGTGACCAGATAAAGAGTAGTTCTCAAAAAATTTAATTTGAATTAATTATAACAAAATAATAATAAAATTAATAACAATGTTCATATTCCTGTTGCCACATTAACAATATTTGTATTATTAACAGATTTAACATCAGTTTTTACTGCATGTTTACTAATTTTACACTTCCTGGATGCGGGGCGCCGGCCATATTAGTGTGTGTAGCTCGAAAAACGTTTCGTGGTTATGTGACCTCGGCCCAGGCTTTTGCTGTTAGCCAATTAATTCTGTCTTTATTTGCTTTGGTCCTCTGTGGTTTGTATCAAAACTGTCCTTCGCTGTTCTTACGACTGCACTTTCTGACACTGTCACACAATCTTTCCCCTCAGCTACTGATGTTACTCATATTCTAATTTCTGGTTTTAAATAAAAGGCCATTTGCAGACTGTGCCCCCCCACCAAAAAATTTTCACTAGCCACCACTGGTGTGGATGCTGTGGAGTGGATGGATCAGGTACCAAGAGATATGGACATATCTGTGCACCAATAAAGGGAGAGCTAAGTTTAAACCCCAGCTCCTCCCCAACAGATAGCCTTTCACGTTTTGTTATTCAAATTCAGTGTTTGTGTTTAGTAGTCAATCACCTTGCACTATACTGAATAAAATGTAAATGATAACATGAAGCTGCATCCATTGCTAGGGAAGTGGGTTACAGTGTAACAGCTTGCTGACTGTGATTTTCCGAACCAGTAGAAATGAGAGAAGTTGTCTTCCATCTCAAAAGAATGAACACGCCTCATCACTCTCCTCAGCTTTATTATTGCTTGGAACCACCTCGCTGCTCTGAACACCTGGTTGATCCTCCGTCTGTCCATCACTCACTCCTGGCATCTCTGGAAAAGATACACTCCTTCCCTCTGCAACCACCGCACCTGGTCTGTCTCTACCACCACTCCTCCACTGCTGCATCTGGTCTGCGTCGCCACGCCACCACCCTCATCTCCCATTCCCTCTCTGTCAGCAAGCCTCCAGCATCTCACCTCAGTGGAACTCATTCCACTAGCATAGCCATTAGCATAGTGTAACTTCCTCATGTGACTTGTTGAATAGTTTGTTAGCAATGGTTGTATGAAATTTTGTTATTCCTTCCCTACCTGCTTTTACCAGTATCAAGTTTAGCAGTTATCTTTGTGTACTTGTAAATTGTTTCAATTCTCATTAATGTTAAAAGATTTAATGTGTAGTTATTCCGCCAGTCCTGTAGGTGTCTCTGTAGATAATCTGTGTAGTGTTGTCTTTGACCGCATTTTCTATATCTATAAATATGGTAACTTTGTAAATATAAACATCTATTGCAAGCCTGATCTGCTGAGTCAGCTGTCTGTGCCTGAGCCTTGAACTCGATCCATGACAGTATGGTCCAGCCATGATGAGCTCAGCGGACAATATGACCAGTGCTGATCAGGCGTCTTCCGTACCGACATTACATCAGGCTATGGCTAATCACTAGGTCATGCTAGGTCAGCATGACGAATTACTGCAATCATTAGGTGAAAGTAATAATGTTGTAATCCAGCAGGTTTCGCTACTTATCAGTAAAGCAACTTCCTTGACTGCTCAGGTGGCAGCTCCACTGAGCGAACCTTTAAGTACTGCTTCTAATGCTTGTTCGTTAGCTGCTAGTAGGCTTCCTTCCCCACGTTCACCTCTCTGTGAACCATTCATTCCTGTGCCTGAGGGTTATGCTGGCGACCTAGGTTGTTGTCAATCTTTATTAACCCAGGTTTCATTAGTTTTTGATCCTCAGCCTTTAGCCTATTCCTCTGATAGCGCAAAAATAGCTTATTTAGTAAGTTTATTAAAGGGCTCAGCAAGAGAATGGGGGACGGCAGTCTGGGAGCAATGACTTGAACTGTGTGTTTCGTACTCTTCCTTTGTAAATGAGATAAAGACGGTTTTTGATCACCCTGTGCATAGAAGAGAAGCTGGAACTTGATTATCTTCCCTGAAATAAGGAAACAAAAGCATGCCGGAGTATTCAGTGGAGTTTCAGACTCTCACGGCTGAGAGTGGATGGAATGATGTGGCACTCCAAGGGACCTTTTACAAGGGCCTCAATGAGGTCTTAAAAGAAGAACTTGCCACCAGACAGGCTGCAAATACCTGCCTTCATTGTGGGAAACCTGGCTATTATGTCGCTCACTGTTCCACACGACCAGTAAAAGGATAGGCTCATCAGTAATGGGAGGAATATGGGTGAGCTGAACATCAACTTCTTCCCCTCATTGTCTTCAGTTAGTGGCATGTCTTGGCTGGAACATTCAATTCCTTCTTGTCAATGCCTTGGTGGACTCCGGTGCATAGGAGACCTTTACAGACAGCCAGCTAGCCAAGTAATTGTTGATTCCGATTGTGCCCCTGGATTCCTCCGTCGAAGCTCAGGGCCTCAGTGGTCTTTCTCTGGCTCTAGTCCAAGCCAAAACAGTGCCAGTGACTCGTGGTGGCTGGGAATCATTAGGAGAAATTAGTATTTCATGTCATTGATCATTCCAACCCACCAGTTGTGCTCAGGTACCCAAGGCTACAATTGCATAACCCTCAGATTAGTCCAAGAAAGAAGTCAGATCATGGAGCTCTCACTGTCATGCAACTTGCCTTCGTTCTACTTTCTTTCCTGCTGTCACTGGTTCCCAACCACCTCGGAAGACCACTGACCTCTCGCTGGCCTTCAACGCCTTAAAAGATCACTTTACTACTGCTCCAATCTTGGGTCAGCCAGATCCCAACCTCCAATTCATCACTGAAGTTGATGCCTCCAACACTGGAGGGGTGCTGTGTTGTCCCAACCACTACTCAACACCAGACTGTAAAGCACTCTCCATTAGTGAAACCCTGGCTCAGTTCCAATCCGTAGCTTTCCGTGCCTGTACGTGTACTAACCTGTCTGTCCTCTGCTTGTGTGCGGACGGATGTCTGTCCACGCCTGAGCCTCTGAACGTAATCTGTGCCAGGCAGGCAAACACTTGACCCAAAGAAATGGGTTAACCTGAGGGCTCAGCAGCCAATGGGAAATTAAAACCCATTGAAACTGGACAAGTGGTCAAATTTCTCAGAATAACATGGAATTTACATATGTGATTAGATGTTGTTAATGTTTTGTTAACATGTTCAAAATGAACACATTCACATATGTTTTTTGTACATTGTTAATGGGTTGTTCATGTTAAAAATCCCAAGTTTGTGAATTGCACAGCCTTCAAGTTGTTTTTTGGTTCTGATGGATAAATTGGCTTTCACTGTCACTGATGTGCGTACATTTTCTGCAGCTCTTTATCTTCCATGTCCATTGACAGCTCTGCTCCTGCCCCTCCTGTATACTTCTAAACAATGGCTGCAGTGATGCACTGTTCAACAGTGTATCTGTTTTTATCAACAACACTGGGTTTGACCCATACAAATCACAGGCTTAGTCTAAAACTGCAAAACAAAAAAGAGTGTTAATGTGACTGCAGCTAAAAATCTACAGAGCAGTGTGTAGGATTTAGAAGGATCTACTAAATGGGAAATAGTTTTGACAGTTATGATTGCATTGGTGTATATTCACTTGTAACTAAAAACCATTGTGCTTTCATTAATCTAGAATATGCCCTTTATAATTAAATAAGGAGCAGGTCTTGCTCCACAACGTATCTACAGTAGGCTCAGGATAGGCAAGACAAACACTGGCTTTAGATAGGTCCCTGTTATGTGTAACTGCCAGTCATCACAGGTTCTACAACATGCTGAGAAAGGAAGAGGTGATCGAGGTGTGTTCAGCTGATTTCATTCTGCAACCTTACTACTAGATGCTACTAAGTCTTTTACACTGGCCCTTAAATGCAAAACAAGGATAGTGAATAAGCTGTTCTATCTTAAATGGTGCTGTTCAACTATCTACAAGCAAAGCTTTGAAATTAAAATGGTTTAAATAGATGCTTTGTGTATGATGTAACATCAACATTTTTTACGGTATTGAACTAATAACAATTAATAACATTTATAAAAATCATTCATATTTTCGATCTGATGAATGAATAAGTGCAATCCGAGATCTTTTGGGGCTCTAAAGCAGCTATTCACTATTGACATTACTACTTCCACCTTTGTTTCTGAGACACAAGAGCCACAACTCACACTATTGTCAGTAAAATGTGAGCATTGTTAAGCATTTGAAAGACTAATGCTGTCATTTTTCTTAATTCAGGTATGTTTCAAAGGGAGCAAGCATGCAACAATGAATGCTTTTCTAAGCCTCTTATAGTGTAATGTTGAATCTTTTTGTAATTAATTAAATGTACATTCAGTGCTCCTTGAATACCAGTACAGAAAATAAATAACTCTTATAAAATGAACATTATCTGTGCAAATTCATAATCCTATTTAACTGTAATTCTATTTATAGAAATTAACTGAAGTAACTGAATTTATCTTCTGATATACTTTGATCTGTTTTGTGTATTTTTTTTGTTTGTTTTGTTTTGTTTTTGTAAATGAATGAAGTGAGGGTTGGACCTCCTTCCAATTTCAGTGTGTCGTGTCTGCAAAGTACAGACAGTATTACAGGCCATGAATACTTGGTTTATTTTGACAAGAGACAGAAAGTTAAAAGCCAGATTTTTACCTGAAACACAGATGAATGTGACATAATCTCCCTTGGCTGCAGTAGGCAGAAAGGACATCTTCTTCCTTTTCCTCCTCCATACCTCCACTGCCACCAACAGCCGCTCATCACGAGGGATGAAAACTTCTTTGTTGATGGCAGACTGACTGTTCATTGTAGTTTTGAAACCTACAAAAGTGAAGGATAGATATTACTCTGCTATTATGCTTGTTTAGCTACCAAACTGATCTCCAAACAGTAAATGGACCAAAAGAATAAAAGTAAAAGAGTGAAGAGACAAAAAAAGAAAAAACTCATTTGTTGCCACCAACATTTAAGATCATTTTAAAGACTCACAACATTTATTCTATTGATCAGTTGATGAGTCAAATAACAAAAAATTCTTCATCGTGAATTTTGATTATTTACTGTTTCAGTTACAGAGTAAGCACAAACACTAGTAAGTCACTGGCAGCAGCTTCTCCAGCTAAGAGAGCAAATCGAAATAAAGAAAAAAACATAAGTGACTATTGGTTTGAAATATCTGTTTCAGCTGGAATTGACCACATTTCCACTGTCAATTCCCAGGGCCACACAGACAGACAGACAATCAAGCACACTCACAGTCACACCTATGGACAATTTAGAATCACTGACTATATATATATATATATTCTTCCCCTCTTGTGTCTTGTGTTCATTTTATTGTTGCACACATTTGTTATAGTTATTCTAATGTTTTGGTTTTTCTGTTTTGCACGTTTAGATTTTTTTTTTTTATTGCTAAACTTTTATTTTAAATTTTGTTTTGTTTGATTGTCATTGCTTGCAGTTTTTGCAGAACACAGTAAGGCATTTTCTCCTGTGCCATTTCTTTTACAAATAAATAAACAAAACTGAAATTAAGAAATTTTTAAATCTTTATCTTCACTTTGGGAATCTTTGCTACATCAAAAAGTTATTTTCTCAATTACAGCTGGTACTTGTCTACTTTTTGACAGAGCGATTAAGAGCTTTCAGAAATAAATGACTTCTTTGTAAGACAACCGGCTCACAGTTAAAAACAATACCAATTTCAGTGGTTAGTAAAATGGAGTCAACTATTATTCTGTCCATTGCCAACTAGATCAGAAGTTTAGCCTACCTGTTCTTGTGCTTTTCTCCACCCAAAACCTGATGTTAGATTCTGGTATCGGTTTCTAGTCCAATGGGACTGCTGTGTTGGCTCAAGCTTTGAATCAGTAGCCTGTTAAATTCATTAAATATCTCCAAGGATTCTGTCATGAATTCATACTACAGCGCATCAAAAGGCGCGCCTTGCTGTGAAGGTGCAAATCAGCCGCAGTCCATTTCAAGATGCTGACAAGCACGTGGTGTAAGTCAGAGAACAGTCAGCATCTGTCTAACAAACAGAGCTCTCTGTTAACCGAAGCCCTTCATTATTAAAGATATTATGAAATATCTATGAATGAATTATGAATAAATACAAGGGCAATTAATGTAAATATGAGAAAGAAAATATTGCTTGAAATCAGAGTTAATGTGGTATATTTATAACTGTTACAAGAATGCTGCAAAGTATAACAGACTGTTAAAGCCCCCAAATTAAAAAAAAAAAAAAAAAAGAAGAAGAACTTACCAGACCTTAATCTCTCCTTTTCTCTTAATTACAAATTGATGGACACACCACCTGCATGTTTTATGTTCACCTTCAAAATAAGAGCCTATGCCAGTCAACAGAGCTTTGTCGGAGAACTATATAGCCATATTAAAAAATAAGAAAAGTCCCAAGTCAATAGCAGGGGCTAAGAGAAGAAACTTTGGACATGTCAGCTTTTTAAAGTATAGGCCTGAAAGTAGTAAGAACAAAAAATCATTGTTCCAGAGTTAAAATATCAAGCTTGTTAAAGAATCAGTTGCTTTTGTCAGGACCCCAGCCCCGTCTGGCTCCCTCTCACTCAGCCCTGCTGGCCCTCTCTCTCTCTCTCTCTCTCTCTCTAGTTCTCTCTCTCTCTCCCTCCGTCCTGTCATAAAAGCCCTGCATGCAGTGTGCCGGTTCACTGCAGGGACTGAAGACCACTGCCAAAATCAGCTCACCTGTTCACAGTCACTTCGTTCCATAAAAGCCCGGTTCATTCCTTCACTCTGCGCCAGACCATAGACAATGAAAATCTATTTTCCCGCCAATTCCCCGACTTGTCACTGTAAGGTAGTTAATTTATTAGTCCACTAGGCGGTGATGTTGCACTGCCTGTCCTTCAAGAAATGCTGTAATTCTGACTGTTTTGTCCTGTCTGGGACACGGTAGTTTGATTTTTGTGGGCAGAAGTGGTGCCGTGCTGGGCAAGTGTTTATGTCTGTATGCTACTCCAGAGAAGTGCTGCTAGTTTTGGAAAGAATAATAGGGCCACTTCGCTTTCCAGCTGTAAAGGCCCGGTCTGTCCTTACATCATAGGCACCCAGTAGGGGTGAATTGATGCCTTATCTTGGTCTGTAAAATAATGTAAATATATTTTCTGACTCGGTCAGAAATCTATATGTATGTCAATAATGTTGGGGGCGTGGCTTCTCGTGAACCTGCACTTATGGGAGTGCAGTGCACGTGCGGTTCGTGCTGAGATATGACGTCACATGCCGACTGGGTGGCTTTTTTTTCCAGAGTTGCATTACCGTGGAGTGTGGATTTTACTTGTTTTAAACTACTGGATTATCGGAAGTTACTGGAACAAGCGGATTGACCACTTCACGGAGCTGCTGGGGACCGGATCCAACGTTCACGGGAGGACTGATGCGTGGAGCCCTGAGTCAATCAGCTGTTTATGGCGTTGGCTACCTGCTACGAGTTGCTGTGAGGTGTTTTATGTGTTTGTGACCCTGCAGAGCCGTGCAGGTGGTGGAACATCTCTATGAACTGATTAATGAACTGTTTGCTGAACTTTATGAACTCTATTGGAAGCCATGTTTTGTTTTGTGCTATTTTGTGTATGGGAATGCGCTCGAGCTTGAGGGGAGGTATAAAGTAAAGAGTACAAAGTAAAAGGCTGTGCTGTAAACCAAAACGGATGTATGTGTTTGTCTGATATTTACCCCTGCTGAGAATAGATCCGCCCATTCCCTTAATATAGTGCGTTGTGACACTGTCGCCTTGGAAATAATAGGTGAATTGTTACACAGCCGCAATTCAGAACCCGTGTGTCCGGGGTTATCTTTGGACTTTCCACACCAGCACCTGTCCACACATCATTAAACACAACGCAGAATACCGGGTGAGTGGAGAGGAACCAGCAAGCAGCGGGCGCACAGAGGGAGTGGGTTATATCAGCCTCTGTTGCCTGAAAGCCCTTCATCGGTGACACATTCGTCGTTCTAATCCTCCCCACAGCCGGTGTCGTGCCAAAGTAGTTATGTTGTAGCAAAACTACTTGTCCATGTGTATGAAGAGTTGTCTGTCTGTATCTCAATCCTTTTGTCCGAAGTGAGATTTGTCAATGTGTAAAAGAAGTTGTGATTGCGAACCGAAATCTGCAAAAGTCGTCTCATAATTTGTCTGTCCGTAATCAGCTTTTCAAATGTGTAAAAAATCTGCTCATCTGTATAAATTTCGGACATGTAATAAGATTTGTCAATGCGTACAAAGAGTTGTCAATGCGTACAGAGGTATTCGAAGTTGAAAAGTCTATGTATTCAAATACAAGTGCTGAAAATGCAGACAGTTACGAGTCGAGCGGCTTCACCATTGGTTGTCTTTTCACACATGACTTTTGCTAAACTTCTGCCGTGAGAGAATCTGAAACCGAAGAGTATCTGAAATTGAGAGTTTCTGTGTCCTGAGCTGAGGCTCACAAGATCATTCATTGTAACTGCTACTGCTCTGCTCCTCTGTCCTCAGTAGTTACGCCATCTGCAAACCTTCAATTCTACAATTCTACAATTTCATTTAGCAGATGTTGTTATCCAAAGTGATGGACATCTGTGAGCAGATGCAACACAAGCAAGGATCTAGTCAGGAGAAAAATAATCTAGATAAGTGCCATAGAACAAGTTCAAGTGTGATATGGTGTTGATGCCAATACCAGGCTGTAGGTAAGTAATAAGAATTTTTTTGTTTGTTTGTTTGTTTATTTGTTTTAAGTTTGTCAAATGAAGGTCTGCTAAACTAAATTGTAGAATTGTAGAATGGTAGAATCAGGTGGCGCTATTGTTAGTAATCCAAGGTAAAATAGACTCAAAACCATTTGCAATGGGATTTGCCAATTTAAATTCATCAGGTACTCCTCTGGGAATACCAATGTTCTCAATATATGTAGGAGAGTTTGTAGTCAGATCAAAAGTGGCAGCTGATCGTCTCTTAATTATGTGTAGATAATTTTCAGGGCGCTCTCTATGGCCCACCATGAAGAGGGGCAGTGTCAAGCACACAGTAGTGCACATACTTGACCATCCTCGTGGAAGGAAATTCAACAGGCGCCGTCCACCACAGTACCTATATAGGTCAGCCCTAGAAATAACAAGCTGTGACTTATTTGACCAGGTAGAGACATTTAAGAGTGCATCCACGATAGGACCAGGCGGGGGTGGCACATGCCATCTCACCGATCAGTTTTTCTGTTGTTGCATGATAGTCAGTCGTCCCTTTGGGGGTAGACCACCCCGGGTTGCTTTTCTGGGTTGATAGCCTCAGTCAGAGTCACTTGTATTAGCAATCACATATCTCCAATCGGGACACTGGTTGAGTGCATGGGATGGGTCAGTGTTAAATTCAGAAACACACACATATGTTTGACCACCATACAGACACTGCGCTCCACCAGGGCAATTAACAACTGAGCAAAAGTCAATAGAAGCCTACATAGTCTTTCCTGCAGTAGCTTGTAGTATTACTTTTCTCATCATACCGGGGCCTACTCAGCTGGGTTCCATTCTTTTCTGTTTGCCACCCTAGCCACAGGAGTGAGAGTGTTACCAAAAAAGTAGTCAACAGTAAGATGGTAAACACCCTCCTTAAACCCCATAACTTAACATTTTGGGTGAGAGGATTCATTTTTGGGTCAAATTATCTCTAAATTGTAGTCTCACCCACCAATTCTAAATCAGCTCTAACCTCTCGCAAAGATCAAGAGGGAGGGGAAATGTGTGAGGTGGTGCCAATTTGCTCCTGTCTTACCTTTTTCCTGGACTGCATGTAAGATAGACTCTGTTACCTCATATGGTCCCATCCACCTGGGTTCAGTCCACTTTCTCTTGTGAACTTTCCCCCGTACCCAATCTCCCACTCCTATCTTGACAGGAGTCTCAGTTGCAGTTTTTTTGGGCTGCGCCTCACTCTGCCGAACCTGTATAGACAGTTAGTCAAAGCTTTCACATAATCATCAAAATCAATTTGCCACACGTCTAGGGATGGCAGATGTCCTCTCTCGGGGGACCTGGCATGGGGCGGCCTGTCAACAACTCATGAGGAGAAAGGTGTGTTTTCCTTACTGGAGAGCATCTCATTGACATCAAAGCTAATGGCAATGGATCCAACCAAGTAAGCTTCATGCCATGGCAGACTTTTGTAATCTTCCGTTTAAGGGCCTGGTTTTCCCTTTCCACCAGGCCTTGTGAGGCAGGGTAATAAACTGAACCAAACCTGTGAGTGATTCCCAAAGCTGATTCTGCTTTGGCCAAGTCTTTGTTGCTGAAATGAGAGCCATTAACAGAATTAATGGTTCTGGAAACTCCATACCTGGATATGACCTCATTTCCTAACCGCTTGATGATGGTCTTGGCATCCTCATTCCTGCATGGAATCGCTTCCATCCACTTGGTGAAACGGTCCACCATTACCAGGAGATATCTGTATCCTTTCACCCTGTTATCTGCTCCCATGTCTGTGAAATCAATCATTATTTCCTTGACTGGGGCATCGGGGACTGGATAGCGTCCCATTTGGCACTTGTAAGGGGCTTTCACATTGTGTGAGTTGCATGTATCACATTCTACAATGTAGTTTTCCACAATCTGAGTCATGTCGAGGTGCCACCAGAGTACTTCTCTGTTTATTTGGGTTCTTTTCCGACTTGCATGAGTTGGTCCACGAGCCTGCTTCAGGAGGAACTGGCACAACTTGGCAGGTGCCAAGGTCATGGGACCTCCAAAGTCCCTCCTTTTGAGTTGCTCCTTTCTTTAGCCACTCATTTGTTGGGGTTCTAGTCTTGAACCTTTGTTCTGGCGAGATTATTTTCTGTGTTTGTTTTTGCTGTGCTGTGCTTTGCATTTTCAGGCTGGGCAGGGCCGTGGTCGAGGAGGACTCTCTCGCTTTCTGCCGCACCTGTCCCTCATCACAATCAGTGCTTCTCTTAAGCTAGCTTCTCCCCGTGATGTGGCGCCAGACGATTCACTCTGCTTTGAGTGGTAGATCGGCCACTACTAGTTCTCGAGTTCTCATGCTTTTTGTTAGTAGTATAAAACTTGCTCTCTCGGTTTCCTCGCCTTCCTCAGAGCCTCCTCAGCCCAGCCTTCACGGGTCAGCCACCAGCAGCAGCTCTCCAGTTCTGGGTCCACTTCCAACTTATTAGGAGCTTTTCCTAACATCATTCTGTTTATAGGGTCCATCTTGTTTTTGCATGTTTTAAATGTCTTTCTCAGTTAGTTGCAGGAGAGGCTCAGCTATACAGCTTCACATATTCCAGTGCCCATATTCAGACTTTTGGTTTCAAAGGTGACATGGGGTTGTTGTAGCAAGCTTGAAATCCTGATTTTCTTTGCTGATGAGAAAGTGAAAGCAGTGGATGCTAGGAAAGCCACCACTCCATGATCTGTGTAAATTTTGAGTGGGTGACACATCACTGTATGATTTGTTTTTTCCACTGCCTTTGCCAGTGCAGCTAGATGTCTGACACAGCCTGCTTGTCTAATCTCCATATTGTCCAGTTTAGAGCTGTAGTACATCAGTACTTGTCTCTCTCCCTCCTCTTTGAGATTAAAGAGGCCAGGACTATCTCTGAATCCCTGAGGGAGCCAAGTATACGTATATCTGCAGCCTCTGTAAGTGAAGGCGAAAAGATTCTGAGAGGACGGATGGAGTGGCAAGCAGGAGAATGCATTGGCTAAATTTATCACCAAATAGAATTGATGAGTTGGGGTCAGATTCTGTAGAGCCAAATAAGGGTCAGGAACAGGAAATTCAGCTGGTTGAGTTGCATCATTCACACCTCTAATGTCTTGGAGCATCCTCCAACCTTTATTGTCAGCTTTTGGCACAGGGAGGATGGGAGTATTCCATGGTGAATTTGTAGTGTGAAGGACACCACCAAAGAGGAGCCCAACAATAGTATCTTCAACACCTTATTCTTGCTCAAGTCTGAGTCTGTATTGGGGTTTCCAAATGGGAGCCTGGTGTGGATGGAGATGCACTGTGATTGCATGCTTAGGGACCAGCCCCACACTGAATGGGCCCGTGGTCCAAAGTTCTTGTGGAATCGTGCTCAACATTGCAGGGGCATCTGGGTGATCAGAATGTTCTCTGCTATGGTATCTCCAGTTCTTGTGACTCCAGGACACACTCTTCAACACCATAATAGAATATACACCACGTCTCATTATCAATGAATTGACATATGCTGGGTACTTCAGTGCAGTCAGATGAGTGGATATAAAAGTATGCGTAAAACAGGGCAGAAGATACCGTTCACAACAATGGCAGCTTTGGCACTGTTGGAGGATATTGCCAATGGAGCAGTGCCAAGAGAACGGGTTTCCAGAGACCTCAGGATGACGACTGACTCATCAGCCGCTTTACGTTCCCGAGGGCAATCCTCTTAGAACTGTGCGCGGAGCTGCGGGAATTTTTGGAGCACAACACGACCAGGAGCCATGTCCTGCAGGTGCTGACCACACTGGGCTTCCTAGCCACAGGGTCATTTTAGAGGGAGCTGACCGACCGATCGGGACTGTGCCAGTCGACACTGAGCCGAACCATGCCAGCTGCGTGGGGTGGAACCATCCGAATGTCAGCCAGATATATCAAATTCCCATACAGTGCAGTTGAACAGGACGAAAAGGGCAATTTGCAGCAAAGGCCGGTTTTTCTTATGTAATCGGACCTATCGACTGCACACACATTGCTATAAAGGCACCATCATAAGATGAATTTGTTTATGTAAACAGGAAGCATTTTTATTCAATCAATGCACAGATCATCTGTGATGAGCAAATACATTTAAGTAACGTTGTTGCAAGGTGGCCTGAATCAAAACACGACTTATTCATTCTGACCAACAGCATGGTTGGGAATAGGCTACAAGCTGGCCCAGTGCGGGATGGGGGCTTCTTGGTGAGTAAATAATTTAATTGTCTTAATATTAATCCTGCGTTAAGCATGTGTGCCCCAGATGGGCATCAGCAGCCGACTGGAGGATCGGCTGACGCCGGGGAGGCTGGAGGAATC